CGGGGTCGACCACTACGTGGAAGGTCATCAGTGCTGTTGGTGGCGTTGTATCGCTGCCTAAGACGTTCTATCGTTCGTCTAGACATCCAATGGCTTCTTGTCGTTCATCACTCGTTAACCTAACCATAGCTGCTGTGTTCAGAAAACAAGTAAACAATTGCCACTCAAACCAGCAATTTATGCCTGAATGCATGCATGATGCACGTGCATCTCGATTTCAATTTTGTGTTTGTGCGAACTCTTCCCTTTCCACAAAAAATACATTTCTAACCTCAATCTCAAACAATACTTTATTGGGCAAAACAGTCTATACGACCACGATTCATGTTTTCCCAAACTTGACTTCCGGTGTATATTTAAAAAAAGAAAAATAGGTTTAAATCCTCCATTGATGCTTGAATGTCATTTCCAATATTACGACGTGTTTTTTGCCTTTCAGTATATTATGGGCGATACTTTTCATGTTACAAAACTGTTAGGACATCACGGTGCACATGTTTGAACTGACTGTACGGATAAGGAGGTAATCACTCACACACGAGGTAGCTACAATAGGTTGTTATTACCTTACACTTCGCCTAGCAAGCCAGGCAAACAACTGTTCAGGGGTCATTGCAGCTGATGATTCTACTAATGTTAGGCATACCTTTGACAGGGTTGGTCATGGAGAAAATACATTTACTTCAAAAACCTTTCATCATAAAATACCTGGGAGTGCCCAGATAAATCCTTGTGGTAATGGACTGAGGCATATGCAACTATTCCTGAAAGGACACTCATGTTGATGTAAGCGACACCAGTACTTCTACTGTCCTCCCATGTTGATGTAAGCGACACCAGTACTTCTACTGTCCTCCCATGTTGATGTAAGCGACACAAGTACTTCTACTGTCCTCCCATGTTGATGTAAGCGACACAAGTACTTCTACTGTCCTCCCATGTTGATGTAAGCGACACCAGTACTTCTACTGTCCTCCCATGTTGATGTAAGCGACACAAGTACTTCTACTGTCCCATCCCATGTTGATGTAAGCGACACCAGTACTTCTACTGTCCTCCCATGTTGATGTAAGCGACACCAGTACTTCTACTGTCCTCCCATGTTGATGTAAGCGACACAAGTACTTCTACTGTCCTCCCATGTTGATGTAAGCGACACAAGTACTTCTACTGTCCTCCCATGTTGATGTAAGCGACACAAGTACTTCTACTGTCCTCCCATGAGATGAAGGAGATCAAATGTTGAATGAATTGATTCCAGAATCAGGTACTGATGGTATAAATTGCAGCCCTTTATGAAACAGGGATGTGGCTAACACCTCAATACAGCATTGCTGGGGTATCATCGAACACTTAAACAGTTTACTCTAGTAGATGTCCCTTATTACTCTAGTAGATGTCCCTTATTACTCTAGTAGATGTCCCTTATTACTCTAGTAGATGTCCCTTATTACTCTAGTAGATGTCCCTTATTACTCAAGTAGATGTCCCTTATTACTCTAGTAGATGTCCCTTATTACTATGGACTGGTTTGTCGCTTCATTCTTTTCCACTTTCTGTTTCTATCGACACTTGTTCGATAATGGTCCAAGCACCGGTACCGAAACGCGTCATTGAAGTTGGGATTCGGTTGAAATGTCAACGATAACGAAGCAAACGATATTATAGATAACATCTTGTTTGTTGACTAGAGCGACGTTTCGGTGGGGATTCGTATAGCCTACCGGTATCACCTCAGCTTGATAACGGTGTAAGAATCTCCACCGAAACGCCGCACTATGCATCAGATAAGAAGATGGTTAATGTCGTCTGCTTGGTTATTCACTCATCAACCTCTAGTATGCCGTAGTCAGTTTCATAGTGCAGGTATGGAGAGTGCAGCACATTGTGCACTGAGATAAGTTGAATGTTGACACGGGTTCCGGTGTAGCGAGTCGATACAGCGTTAATTGACATAGTGGCTTGTCCCGATGGTTATTCCTCATCATTAGCAGATAATGGAAGTCTGTTTGCAATATTTATTAAATTAACAGTGGTCGAATACACACGTCCGCGATTATTGTTTACATTAAGATCGATGTGTTGTAATTCAAAAGGAACATAGATGGCATAAATTCAAGGGAGAGCCGTATCAGTCGAGACAGACAATAGATAAACTCGTTGTTGCCAATAAAACATGTCTACGACCTTGTACCCAAGTATGTGAGTGTCTACACGACCCACTGAGCGTAAGCTGGGACGGTATAGCACTTGACCTACGTTAGGGAGTAGTCATTTTATCTGTATGGGAGGTGAGGAGGGAGGGATTTATTTCAGAACAATCTATTGTTTTCCCAGCTATATCCAAGAATTATTTATTTACCAAACACTATCAATCAACCTAACTTTTAACTATGAACTTTTTCAACCAACATAAAATTGACGTTTGGGAATTTTCCACGAAACCAGCTATTCATTTTTCTCTTAACTGCGAAAAGAATATTTATTTTAGGCAGCAGTTCTGTCACTTGTGGTAGAATATTGCATATTACGACGACAAAGAAACCAGTATACTGGCTCTTCTGGATAATGAGAAAGCATTTTCCAAGAATACCTATGTTTCATTCAGGTGAGTTACACAACCTTATGGTTAGGCAACGTGAGTATTTGTCCTTGGCAGTGCACATGTCTCATGACAAATGGATCATTACCTTGTTAGTCAAGAGACTATATCAACACCACTTTCATATGTCCATTACACGTAATATGCTCCCCGCCAACGGGACTGAGAGAATCGTTATTCTCTTTCAACACTTTCAATGGATTAGTAAACGGTAATATAAAATAAAGTACCATTAAATAAACAACACCGTAATGTCAGCTTGCCTTCTGATAATGCAAGTGTGCAAAGCAACGAATCTACAAGTTTCATCTAATTTTACACTCGGACAGGTTCAGCCTCAATCTAAGGGTCCACTTGTTGCCATGACCCTGAATTTCAGAACCCAATATGTTGAATAGTTTTTTTAAAAACAACATTTTATGGATCCTTATTAATTTATATGTCAGTTATGTGGCAGTGAGTACATCTGTCCCCACCCGTCAAGAGTAAGCCCACTGACGTAGCGTTCTGTAAATGTTTCTGATAACCTACGATGCCGTCCAAGATTTATGTCAGTTATATACATAAGGTTGACAACGCCACCTACAGTAGGTCAATTACAATATTATAATCATGTGATCGAACCAAAGAGCCGTGGGTGTTGGGACGGCCTGTGTATGATCGAGTCTGGACCCCACCAAAGGTGATGTAATGATAACACCATATACCGTCGGTGAACCATGACACCCAGGCAGCCATGTTGCCAGGACTGAAACCCTGATTACCTCCAGTCCCCCATCTTGTTTTTTTGTTACTTACTACATACAAATCATCATCAAAGAGAAGACAGGAAAAGCTGTTTCCTTGCAGCCATAATTATTTAACCATCACCATCCATTAGTAACAGAGGCTTGTGACGCAAAAACACTGGCATCAAGGTATATACTGTCACTGACGGGGTCGCAGCACTATATGAAAAGATCCTTATAAATAATTATTGTGCTAAGACCCCGTCAGTGACAGTACATCGATTATTGCCAGGCCTTTGTGTTACCAGCCCCTGTGATATTAGAAGCATATTCTAATGGTCGGGTGCTGCTCAAACACCCATGGTAAGTAGGTTCTTCAGGTGCGAATGACGCAACGTTAGTAATCGTTGATTAAACTAGCACTGGTTTCCACTGTATTAACAAAGAATAAATATTGATCTTGTCCTAACAGTGTTTGATGTCGGGGTGCCTGGTATGGTCGGGGTGCCTGGTATGGTCCAAGTATCGCGTTATTGTAATTGTATGTAGTTTCTGGATGATGGTAATCTATTTCTCCTCATGTTATACAAGTTTCGAGCTTTCACTTACACGTTTGGTTTGCTGCAGAGTATGAAAGCGTTGAACCTAGTCTAATGTTTGAACTACATCATTGCAATTACAAAATCAACCATAGTTCTCCTGTCCCTTCAGCAAGAGTATGAAGTATTTCTACACCTCTGGTTGCGCCTGAGAGTGTGTATAGGCAATGGACGTCGCCAAGAGGAGTGTTTTGTCAAATCTACTTGTCTTAAAGTTGTTTTCTTTTCTGTCATTTTAAAATTACATTTTCTAACGAAAACTAGATAGTTACCGTTCTTTCCGGGTCATCCCGGTTCGGAAACATACTCATCATTAAAATCAGATCTGATGGTGACAAGTTACATGAACTTGGGACCAAAACATTGCTAGAAAATACACTTGCGTGTATGGAAACACGTTACCTTGTTACCAAACAATGAGGAAAATACCATTAATATATATAGATAAGTAGAAGCGACAAACCCATTTCCACGAGTCGATCGTGCGATTCCGACTATAGCATGAAAATGTATTTATGGTTGACGATGAAATAGGTGTTCGGGAAAGGTATGTTTGTGTTACCTCACAGATGGCATCTATCACAAACACATGCAAACACCAGTCAAGTGTTCATCGAACCACGACGAGGAACATATGGTACAATCGGACGTCATTCTTGTTACTGATGCGTCAAATTTTGAAATATCCTCCATATGTCCATAACACTTTTGGAGTCCTTGAATGTTGAAACTCTGATGAACCAGTTTCTGAGCAAGCATGTTATGACTTTGAAATCTTTGTAGAAACAGCTCGATTATACGTAAACCAATTTTGACAAATAATCACCAATAGGTAATCCAACAGAAAGATCATTGGCTGTGTCCTGACCATGTTAGAAAAATCAGAAACTCGTGAAAATACATTTTCTTATGAATAAGCAATATTCCCATTCATTAACTATTGATCAAATAAAGTTCCCCAACATTGACCTGAGATCAAACAACAACTATATTTCTCCCTACGTTTGTGCTGTCTGTATTGACGTCTCGTTGAGCTCCACCCGAGTCACCAATCCCCTGCTGCAATGGTTCGCTCACCGATGTTGAGGCCGATGATCACTACGCACTGAACGCCTGGACTAGCTGCTAGGTCTCTTACTCTCTGGGGAACTTACATATGATGGACACACTATTCGTGTTTCTTGTGTGGTATCTGTGACTGTTCTGTGACTGACCGATCTGTGCAGGATGCAGCTGTGTGCCAACAACAGTCCCTTGGCGATCGACATGGACAGGACGACGGACATGAGAGAGGCAAGCACAGCGGAGATACTGGCCCCTCCGCTCCTCGTGCTAGGGGCCTGCTATGTGGGTGAGTGTATGATGCTGTTGTTGGCAGGTTCTTCTAGCCTGGCAGTGGATATCCAGGTATATTATCATGAATTCATTAAATCTGTCTCTTTTAATCGTAAGTGTTTTCTATCACAGAGATAAACTGCATCTTCATATGACATTATCAATGTAGGAATAGAAGCCTACAATTAAGTTAGTCTTCCCTTTTTCGCATATCTTATTGTATTTTGTTGTGTGACAAGGAGAGAGGTTTCACTATTGGTATACTATTTACCCGACGTCCTCGTCTCGCATAAATCTGAGGTAGTTTAAATGTAATATCAATGATTAGGTTGCTGTCTCACAAAACTATGTCCAAATTACCATGTGATCAGACCAGTGCACGTCTACTTAAAGTTGATCAGACCAGTGCACGTCTACTTAAAGTTAAAGTTTATAACGCACGCACGCACGCACATATTGAGGTGAAAATTTCCAACTAAATGACTTGACAAAGTATCATCGGTTTTCGGACGTTGCATGTGACGGAAGGGTTTACTCTTGTTGTAATATGTCAGGCTGCTTCACACCGATTGATGGCTTGTGTTGGAGATACAGTTGTCCTTTAATGAGTGGCATGATATACAATTCTTCATGTGACAATCGAGACAGCACCGGATCTTCTTAAGCGTCCGAAAACCCACATCACGATGATACATAGCTACCTTGTAAGTGTGGGACAAAATAATGTTGCTTTATGTTTTGTATAAAGGCTCCAATTATCAAACGGTACCCAGTTACCCTTAGACTGATCTGTGTAGCAAGTTTCATCAAGAATGATTCAACAGTTCGGTTGCCGCACCACCTCCATGTTCGGTATAAACCAACCTGTCCACATATATATAAACATTTAAAACATAGGAAATGTACACGAATCCACGACAAGCCTGATCTCTATGGATAGTTTCACCCACGAACCCACCACTAGACTGATCTCTATAGATAGTTTCACCCAGATAGATTTAACAGGTTTTGAGTTCTGCTCAGAAAAGGCTTGGCGGACAGACAGTCGGACGGACGGACATGCTGATGGCAACAGCCCCCTTTTATTCACACCTGGGGATATACATTGTTAATACAATTAAAGTGTTTGTTGGCTTGCTTATATCTATCTGCTTTGTAACACACGCACGCACACACACACACACGTGCATAATCTTTACTCATGTGTGTTTGCACTTGAAGACCAACCCAAGCTTGCTTCGCAGAAAAACACATATCCTTGTTTTGCCTTGCTTTGATGCACATCCTTCTCCCCTTTCTTTGAAGCATTAGTAATAACACATAAACATAGAATCCTCAAATAAAGCTCCAGACAGAGAACATCGTGTACAGTGCGTTTGAGTCAGAAACCCCGCCGCGACAGATAACAACTTTTGCGTTTTCAATAATGATAGTTTCTTAAACAACTTTATTGGTGGAGTCCGGAAAATTTTCAAATATAAGAAAGCTGTTGGGTATTAGTAAATGATAAACATGTGTACTATTTATATTTATGTGGCAATTTTGTACAATTATAAACTTTGCAATTCATCGGTCCGTTTCTGACTCAAACGGACTGTAGCATTCGATGTAATGAATTTGTGGAATGATTATTTGTGGAAATTGTTAAGTGTATTCTTTCCTTAACATCAACTTCTCTCCGGCACAGTGGATGTGCTTGGTACTTCTTTGCGACCAGTTTGAATGTTAGGACGTTCTACAGTTATACATCCCTGTCGTCGTTTACGTAAATAACTTTATAATACCTTATAATTCTACTTCAAGTTTTGTTGGCCTTCGCATACAGTTGATGAGCCATTCATTGATGTAACATGGCAGTATATAGCCGTGAATCACCTGACTAAGCTGGGTTGATGTCTGCCCCTGGTCTACATGCTCCAACACTCCTTACCCGTGCTGTCGAGAGATCTTACCAATCAATGTCATTTATTGTCATTACCATCTTTCTAGATCTCCAAGGTCTCCTTCCGGGAGACTGAATGAGTTCTTAAGAACGGAACACATCACACACCTTCACAAGTCATTCTCAAACTATCCCATATCCGTCTCAAAACTGACAATTGGCCTGCAAGAAATCTTACCAAACCGCCAGACACGTGGCTTCACTTGGGACTTTCCTCCAAAGTCAGTGCCTCATACTGATACATAAGATGATAAAAAAGTTTAATTTGAATCAATCTTGGATGGGAGAGGGAGATGTTGAGTGGTAGTATTCAGTCCACTCGTGACAACTGGATGTGATCTTTGATGGCCATAAGGAAATCACTTGATAAAACACGTTGTGGAAATGTCGATGACACCCGCACGGTGAACAAATAAATAACGGCTCATTGACAACTCGCCATTACCATAAATATGGACGCTTGAATACAGCGTGGGTGAACCAGCCGTGACAAGTCGACCCTTTAACTTCGCGAGTCCGGCTTAATTAACGAAACAACCTTACTTCACAGTGAGGCCCTAGTGGGCAGCTAGATGGAGTTTTGTATCCTGCTCTATAATTAATGATGGCTTGTATAGGATCCGGTGTGACCAGAACCATTGATCCCGTATATTGCTTGGCATCTTGGTTATTACTGCTAAAGAATCACCGACCCAATATTATCTGACCGAACAGAACCACGCTACCGTTTAATCAAATGGTAATATTCCATGGCGGTATATTAAGGACGTAATTTGTGTCTGGGGAAATACTTGACATGCATGAAATGGCAGTTTCAGAGACCGAGCCAGCTGTCTACTGCGCAGATTCAAGGAAAAGGTCAAACTAAGATCCCATGACCCGATTTCGTTGATTCATGTTTACTTGCGTAACGGAACAGTGAATTCATAGGGCTCATTCGTTTCATAACATTCGGTGCCGTTTCCAACGTGTTTGTTTAAGAATGCATGTTTGTTTGAAATTTGCCCGAGGTGTTTCATATAAATTCAATTAGTTTCGGTAAACATTTGCAATCAATATTCATCGATATGTGTTCATACTGAAAGGGTAGTTACTGAAAAGTACTTGATATATGTTGACGTATTATCAAATTGCATTAGTGCTGCAGTCGAACGGAAGCGAACTGGTTTGTAATATTGTTTTACACGAAATTGATGTTCGAAAATCCATCGTCATACCTGGTTATAACCATTCACAATATACGATGTCTGATTGTAAGAGGTTATGGCGATGAGCTTCGACAACAGCAATTCATTTAACCATTTGGGAGATGTTTCCATTCTCTTTGTCTCCATTGTATATATTTACATTACGTGGGCATAAATCCATCAATACATCCAAGTTTATTTTTTGGGTAAAACAATTTCACAAACTAAGTGATCTCGTCAAGGTGACTAAACATGGATGTATTTATTCCGCTGGAATGTAAACCTGATTTCGACCAGAATCGTCAGATACCGTAAAACATATTTCTGTCTGTTTAAAATGCATAGACCCATCTCTCTTTATGTGACAGGGGATAATTCCCCTAAATAATGTAGCCCCTGTAATCTGACAAGATAGGAAGAGATTGGCATACGTTTCGGATAGTTCCTGGAAATGGATTTCCTTCATTCTTCAAAGTCAAAATTTGAAAACATACGTTTAATTCTTCCAAACTATAATTCATCCAAGTGACTGGTTTAAGATTCAAACGATCCTTTCAATAAAATATATCTTAAGAAGCCAGGTCGTAAAAATATGCACCCGCGAAACAGCTGTGCTGATCCGTAGTGTCTAAATGTCTAGAAAGATTATGTATTTCGAAGAAACATGAAATGTCCATTCGGTGGTGATATATTTGATCTGGACATCATAGTCTTTAACTGTACGAATGGACTTTAACTTACGAATGTTTTAAACCTAGTAACTGTTTTTATGTTTAGTCAGATGGGATTTTCACAAAGCTTTGGAGTCAACTTTGTGTGCAGACCCTTTCAGTGTTGTCACGACCCCTAGTGTACAGTACACAACCATGTGCACTAAAAGAACCCACGAATCCGTTGGTATATGACCAGATGGTGGCCACATGTATACGTGCAAACACCTAGTTGCGGGTACAGCACCGTGCAGTAAACTTGGACAAAGTACTGTGACTATGTGTCCCAGTCCACCCAGCTGTGAATGGGTACCTCGTAAGGATGGGAAAGCCACACTAACTCGGTGCGCATAGTGGCTGCAAGAGTTGTACAATCCCCGGGGAGTCGAGATTGATAATACCATAAAAAACATTATGCCGATGAGATTGACATCCAGTGATCGAGGGAAACAATACCAGCGCCTTGAGTATGTACTATAGTTGCGTGGATAGTCTATACTTTTTCTTGGTAGTCTACGTTTCACTCTTCAAGAACCAACACTTCGTGTTAACATTCAGCTCGCCTTGAACTGATCATGTTCCTCAAACAAAATACAATGCGGGATCCAAAAATGATCTTATCCGGAGAGACTAAAGTGAGTAAAGGTATTAGTACAACTCGAAATTGATCTTAAGTACAAAAATACTTGCGTCTATCTTTTGGTATGATCCAATGTTTTGATAACTAATTAATAGCTAAGATCACAGTGCTCATCCGTCGAATGCATTTTACTACCTGAAATCAGAAATTCGACGAATCGGTACACGACCGAACTAATTGGGTCTTATGTCGTTCTTGACCAGGATACCATCTTACAGTGCGAAAGGTAACCACACACACACACACACACACACACGCACGCCAGCACGCACACGCACACACACACGTGTATATTCAATCAGTTTTTTGTTGGGCCTGGGTAGCGGCGTGGCGACTCCAGCGACAGGTTACAATTCTATGTATGCTGGTTAACTGAAATGCAGAACTTACCAGGTTTATGCTAATTGTCGTCTGTCTTGTCCACCACAGCTTTGATAATCCTGTGGATGAAGACCCACGGCGGATATGTCGCTCGTCTGCTCTTGCCGAGATGTCTAGGGAGCAACTCCACTGATGACGTCTCCAACGGACGATTCAACAAGAGCACGTACAGGGACGAATGTTGCGCAAAACCCTTGCTGTCAATGGAGGACAAGAAGGTCCTCCAAACTCTCACCGGACAGACAAATACTTTCAAAGAGCTAGTTAAAATCGTGACGCCCGCAACCATGTCTCTCGCCTTTTGTCCTCTCACTCTCTTCACGCACAGTCTGATTTTAGAAGGATTCTGGCCGAAGGATGCCTTTCCCAAGGCCCCGAATATCAATGATGGCATCGCGTGTTTCCTTGTTCCGGCGGGGATGGTATACGCCATATCCTTCGGGTTTGCCTTTCAGGCGGTGTTCACTCGCCATCAGGACACCGACAGGTGTATCAGCGAGGAAGTGAATACCATGAACCGAATTATCTCCCTTGTGTCACGGATGCAGTTTCCCAGCCCAAAGACACAACTGGGGATCCTCAGAGTCATCAAGGGTGAACTCATTGCTATGGTGCAGGATGTACTGGGCACGCAGCCATGTTTGGACTACGACGCAGGGAAAGAAGGTACATTCGAAGGATTGTTCAGACTTTTTATTCCATTTGTGCGTAGTTATGTTTTCAAAAATATCCGTCCGTCCACAATTAGCCCAAACATACCATCCAGTACTGTTGTAATTCTTTCAACAAAAGTTTGTGAGTTGATGTCATAGACATGGGAATGTTTAAGATATACGTGCAATATACTATACACTTGATGATTTACAATATATTCATAACATGTGTTTTAAATGGCTAGACTTACTTTATCTTGGGCAGAACGTGTCGCCCCTTTCCCTTGTTTCGTAAGAACAGAATAATATTGATCTGGTGTCCCGATGTGTAACACAAGCCTTGGTTGTCATTGGTTGTCGGTTGATTGTTGCTGTAAACACTGCTCCATCTGGCCAACATTCAAATGCTTACTTACACCATGCATTTCCATGCAATTCTTTTTAACTAAATGTTTACAGCGTTTCAAGACCTCATCCGGGTTCTGGCATCAGAGTATTCGATGGTGTCATCGCAGAACGACGCTGTGTTACGCAAGCAGGCTATAAAACTGATATCAGCCCAAGTATACCGCTTTGAGCTGAAGTGCCCTCACACGCAGAGACTCAACCCTGTAATGTAAGTAACCATGGTAACAGATAGATTGCCAGAAGTATTTCTTGATGATGTCCCAAAGTGACTAAGCCAAGCTCCAGAACCACTCTATATATGTATGAAGACAACAGACTCACGACATCTATACAGCGCCAGCCAGGGTGTGATGCAGCATCTGTTGAAATGAGCAGGAAACATATTTTAGATGGAGTTGGATGGGGTAGGGATGGCGTTTTTCGAGTCCAGTCACAGGGAGGCACACATCAAGCTGCAGAACCTTCTCGGTTATCCAGTCCATCATGTCTCCAGTCTAATATGAAATATATCGGATATGACACTTTAAGCCTGAGTCACACCAAAGTAGTTCTTAGTACGTCCTGCCCCGTCCCAAAAATAACTGTAAAACGGGTTCGAACGGGATACTACGTGTAACTTTGGTAAAAAATACGATTCCAATTCGATTATAAACAGTTCTAAGTACGTCTGTGTCGCCTTTTTACCGTCCCCAGACAGTTGGTATTACGTTTAGACTGGGTAAAAATTGTGTGTGGACAACGTTTTTAAGCCGTTCAGTATCGTCCTTAGTCAGTTTATATGCGTTCTGAACTGGACCTATCTCGTTCTTATTACGCATAACCCCGTTCTAACTCGTTCTTAACTGGACCGACTCGATTTCAGGCAGTTCTTCCCGTTCGCACTACGTTCTCCCTCCGTTCCAAGTGCGTGCAATCGTACTAGCAATCACGCCCTGGTCCGATTTCGATAAGTACCCAGCAGGTTATTGCCCGTTCTCAGTTTCAGTTTGCCCTTCTGTAATTGGTGTTATTTCTCAGTTTCAGTGGAATGAATGCCATGCCCTCTGTAATTGGTGTCTTCTTTTTTAATGAATGGGTCGAGAGTTCCAGAAGGTCATCAAACATTGGTGGGGTGATTCTCAAGAAATTGCAGAAGGACTCATGATCAAGGCGGAGCTCCACCATTAGTTGATGATAATGTCCACACAGTTCGAGCCCGATCCGAACATTTTTCAGGACCGTACTGAGAACGAGTCTGGTGTGATGGGGGTATTCCACACCATACGCCTATTACAACATAAAATACCTTTGTCTGCCCCGTTAACGGTACACATAGACCCAGGTTTCCGTAGATATTTTTGTGTTAACGGTACACATAGACCCGTGTTTCCGTAGATATTTTTGTGTTAACGGTACACATAGACCCAGGTTTCCGTAGATATTTCGTGTTAACGGTACACATAGACCCGTGTTTCCGTAGATATTTTTGTGTTAACGGTACACATAGACCCAGGTTTCCGTGTGTTAACGGTACACATAGACCCATGTTTCCGTAGATATTTTTGTGTTAACGGTACACATAGACCCAGGTTTCCGTAGATATTTTTGTGTTAACGGTACACATAGACACGTGTTAACGGTACACATAGACCCGTGTTTCCGTAGATATTTTTGTGTTAACGGTACACATAGACCCAGGTTTCCGTAGATATTTTACGGTACACATAGACCCATGTTTCCGTAGATATTTTTGTGTTAACGGTACACATAGACCCATGTTTCCGTAGATATTTTTGTGTTAACGGTACACATAGACCCATGTTTCCGTAGATACTTTCGTGTTAACGGTACACATAGACACGTGTTTCCGTAGATTTTTTTGTGTTAACGGTACACATATTTTGAACCCATAGACCCAGGTTTCCGTAGATATTTTTTGTGTTAACGGTACACATAGACCCATGTTTCCGTAGATATTTTTTGTGTTAACGGTACACATAGACCCAGGTTTCCGTAGATATTTTTTGTGTTAACGGTACACATAGACCCATGTTTCCGTAGATATTTTTTGTTAACGGTAACGGATATTTTTGTGTTAACGGTACATAGACCCATGTTTCCGTAGATATTTTTTGTGTTAACGGTACACATAGACCCATGTTTCCGTAGATATTTTTTGTATTAACAGTACACATAGACCCGTGTTTCCGTAGATATTTTTTGTGTTAACGGTACACAAAGACCCGTGTTTCCGTAGATATTTTTTGTGTTAACGGTACACAAAGACCCGTGTTTCCGTAGATATTTTTGTGTTAACGGTACACATAGACCCAGGCTTCCGTAGATACTTTTGTCTTCATGGTAAATAAGGTTTCCGTAGGTATGTTTGTCTACTTTATCAAAAAAGAATTTCATTGTATGTGTATATCGTATATTGACATATGTTTTTAAAGCGTTTATTATGAACCATCATCTCTACCAAGAACGTTTCAGTCCCACACCCTTTCCATGACTGGTTCATCCCTGGATGTACCTGCCACATAGCGCGTATTGTTATCACTTAAGTACCCACTTTAGGTTTGTTGACATGGCAGTCTATCCTGCTGGGTTGTTAGTGCTGATTGGATTCTCCCCGCCCCCAGTCAATGGCCTCCCGAGAATAACCAACTGATGCCGTAGTTTAACTTTGCTTTATTTACACTACCGTATTACTGATAATTGCGATATTGTGGATATTGATAGCCATGCTTGGGCGCCTGAACATTATGTTTGTAATAAGCACATCACTGCTCGTGTTTGCCTGTCCATTTTCTTCCTTTTGGAAATAAACAAAACATGTTTGATAATCGAGTAATTCCCTGAGAGGCCACAGTGTGTGTATTGTGCTATGAGTGTAGCTCGAACTGAAAGAAACGCGCTGTGTTTGGTGTCAGATGGTTGTCAACGCTTGGCTTGCTTTAGTTTTAATCTAACAATTGTAAACATAAGTGAGTAACAAATAACGCTCCTTGAAGATGCCCTTCAGAAACTATCGAACAACCGAACACCGTGAACACAAGATACATGCTGGCATATTAGGGTACACAAGGAGTGAGACGCAACATTGTAGTGGTGATTAATGATAATTTACTTTAGAAGTATTGCAGAAAGGTGAACTGCGACACCAAAGAACTGCTTTCAAACAGTGCATCCACATGGATAATGGAACCCAGCTAGTCAGCGGGTTGTGTAGGCGCTTTAACCACTAGACTACGCTCTGTGCGCGTGTGTGCGTGCGTGCGTGCGTGAGTGTGTTGAATTGCCTGCCTCAAATGCCGACCAACAAGCTGTAGGGCTGGCTTGTCTCGTCCCTGATCCATACTATGCTTTCTTCCACCCAGTACTTAATGTAATGCTATTTCTCTAAATAAGCAAGTCTAGATTTGAGATTTGCCACAGATTCAGTCTGGATCTCCATTTTAACTGGGCTCCTTTTCAATTTAAATGTTTGTTTTTATCAAAACTGTATGTTTTCAGATCTCCTTGCAGGGCTTACAAGTGTTTCTGCCATAGTTTGCGTGCATTTCAAACATATTTAAAAACAAACGTATTTAAGAGACAGTAAGAATATCAAACATATTACAAAGACGCTAAGAATATCAAACATATTACAAAGACGCTAAGAATATCAAACATATTACAAAGACGCTAAGAATATCAAACATATTACAAAGACGCTAAGAATATCAAACATATTACAAAGACGCTAAGAATATCAAACATATTACAAAGACGGTAAGAATAGACGGTAAGAATATCAAACATACAAAGACGCTTAGAATATCAAACATCTTTAAAAGACAATACTAAAATCAATCATATTTAAGAGACAATAAGAAAATCATTAAAGGTTGAAAAACGCACCAGTACGTTTTATTACTTCTATGACAATACAATAGGCAAACATGAAACTAATGATACAGTGGCAAATGGAGGGTTCTGCCTGCGCGTTCAGAGTATGTTGAGTGTTTACTTACAATAATCAGTACTGATGTTTATGATTGTGTTAATTACCCTGGAACCACGTTCCAGTATTTCAGTGTGATCCTGAGTAAACATGACTCGTGGACTTGGTTGATGATCGCTACTTCTAATGAAACACAACAATGACTCGGCCCTCGAACAGTACCAGGGCTAAAAGGTTTTCGGTGTAAAATGCCTCGTACAGAGAAGCCTTCGGTCCCTAGATTATCCAAACAAACAATAAAAATACTCGACAACACAAAATGTGTAAAGCAAAATGGCTTACAAATCCTACACAAGAAGTCAATATGGCGTGGTTCGGTCTGCATTGATTAGTGTAGCATTATGTCCTGGGTTGCAAGGCCGGTACTGACACAGTGGTACTTCAGAAGGGTAATGACTGTGTCTTTGTCAACTCGTTTATTAATAGCATCTAAACTAGTATTGAGTTGATTCAGGTGATTAAGTTTCTATCCAATGATGACTTCAATTAGTTGTACGTATTTGTTCGGTCAACAGGAAGAACGAACTGTATGTTGTGTACAGTTTGCAGAAGTAGTTCACTCTTTGCAGCGAAAACCGGAGACACGGAACTATGACCTCTTTGATCTCGCCTGTGGTTGAATATTGGAATTGGAATAGTATATTGATTTGAAAGAATCAAGTAGGCATTTGTTTCGGTAAGATATATCTAGTACCACAAAGCAAAATCAGGAATGATTTCTATCATTGATGTGTCTTTGTGAACGTCTTACTCGGTGTTGCGTGTTGTGACCGTGATCAAACAAATTGTGCAAAGTCATGGTGCTCCTTGAAGTCTTGGTCGAAAGACATGATCGACTGAATCTCAAGCGCTGTGACATGTTGACACCGCGGGATGGAGCTCCTCGAATATTGCTCGACGTAAACAGGAAGTAGACTGTTGGATAGCTGAAGCTCAGCGATTAATGCTCACGATGTTGATCACTGGATTGTCTGGTCCAGACTCGATTATTTACAGACCGCTGCCATATAGCTGGAATACTGCTGAGTGCGGCGTTAAACAGAAACCCAACCAACCATCAGTCTCAGCAGGGTACAAACTCAGGACAGATGTCAAGCTTACATAGCATCAAACAGAAACCTTAGGTGGTGCTTTGAACGGGAACTACTGGTTAATAGGAACAATACGGGGACGTGAACTGGTTAATAACATAAATATTGGGACTTGAACTGTTGGTGTATAAGGTTAGTACTGGGACTTGAACTGTTGGTGTATAAGGTTAGTACTGGGACTTGAACTGTTGGTGTATAAGGTTAATACTGGGACTTGAACTGTTGGTGTATAAGGTTAGTACTGGGACTTGAACTGTTGGTGTATAAGGTTAATACTGGGGCTTGAACTGTTGGTGTATAAGGTTAGTACTGTTGGTGAACTGTTGGTGTATAAGGTTAGTACTGGGACTTGAACTGTTGGTGTATAAGGTTAGTACTGGGACTTGAACTGTTGGTGTATAAGGTTAGTACTGTGACTTGAACTGTTGGTGTATAAGGTTAGTACTGGGACTTGAACTGTTGGTGTATAAGGTTAGTACTGGGACTTGAACTGTTGGTGTATAAGGTTAGTACTGGGACTTGAACTGTTGGTGTATAAGGTTAGTACTGTGACTTGAACTGTTGGTGTATAAGGTTAGTACTGGGACTTGAACTGTTGGTGTATAAGGTTAGTACTGGGACTTGAACTGTTGGTGTATAAGGTTAGTACTGTGACTTGAACTGTTGGTGTATAAGGTTAATACTGGGGGCTTGAACTGTTGGTGTATAAGGTTAGTACTGAAACTGTTGGTGTATAAGGTTAGTACTGGGACTTGAACTGTTGGTGTATAAGGTTAGTACTGTGACTTGAACTTTGAACTGTTGGTGAACTGTTGGTGTATAAGGTTAGTACTGGACTTGAACTGTTGGTGTATAAGGTTAGTACTGTGGACTTGAACTGTTGGTGTATAAGGTTAGAACTGTGGACTTGAACTGTTGGTGTATAAGGTTAGTACTGTGACTTGAACTGTTGGTGTATAAGGTTAGTACTGTGACTTGAACTGTTGGTGTATAAGGTTAGTACTGGACTACTTGAACTGATGGTGTATAAGGTTAGTACTGTGACTTGAACTGTTGGTGTATAAGGTTAGAACTGTGACTTGAACTGTTGGTGTATAAGGTTAGTACTGGGACTTGAACTGTTGGTGTATAAGGTTAATACTGGGACTTGAACTGTTGGTGTATAAGGTTAATACTGGGACTTGAACTGTTGGTGTATAAGGTTAGTACTGTGACTTGAACTGTTGGTGTATAAGGTTAGTACTGTGACTTGAACTGATGGTGTATAAGGTTAGTACTGTGACTTGAACTGTTGGTGTATAAGGTTAGTACTGTGACTTGAACTGTTGGTGTATAAGGTTAGTACTGGGACTTGAACTGTTGGTGTATAAGGTTAATACTAGGACTTGAACTGTTGGTGTATAAGGTTAGTACTGTGACTTGGACTGTTGGTGTATAAGGTTAGAACTGTGACTTGAACTGTTGGTGTATAAGGTTAGTACTGGGACTTGAACTGTTGGTGTATAAGGTTAGTACTGGGACTTGAACTGTTGGTGTATAAGGTTAGTACTGGGACTTGATCTGTTGGTGTACATGTATAAGGTTAGTACTAGGACTTGAACTGTTGGTGTATAAGGTTAGTACTTGGACTTGATCTGTTGGTCTGTCAGAGTAATACATTGGAAAGAAAGTCTGAGAGAATCACGGTGATGAGTGACAGTCAGGTTGTGGCGGTCCGGGGTTTCAGGTAGTTCGGGAGAAACCCGACCGCCTTGATATAAAACAGCTAGGTTGTGACAGGCTGTTGTCTATCCACTGAACAGCATGGACATGCAGTGTCAATTGCAGACTGAGAGAATAGGTGATTTCATTCTTGCCTTTGAATCAGACGTATGTCGCTGTCTGACTTGGAATTGCGTGGAGATGAAGGGGTTTGTGTATACAGAAATGTTCCCTTAACAAAATCAAAATACAGAAACGTACCCCAGGACGTTTTCTTTTCCGGAACTGTCAGAATATTGTACTAGATGCATTTGATTGCGTTATTAAGAAACGAACATACACAGTAGCAAACATTACGCGAACAGCGGGGACGGGAACAACGACATACGGTTTCCGTTTTTTATTTTGTTTTTTTATTCGTACTCCGTTTAGGGTACCGGGTACGTTTCTGTATTTTGACTTTGTTCAGTGTAAATGAAGATGCTGTGTAAACATAACATGCCTGGGTTTCACGCACACAGTAAGGATGGCATTGGCCACGTGACAGTGATAACGTAGAAGCTAAAAACTATCACAGATTTTCACACTTAACATTCGGCTTCAACTGACAGAATTACTCCCGTGATATAAAGCTACACAGGTGTACACACATATCGCAACACGGCGTGTTGAAAGGTTGCGCCAGTGCACGTATATACAACTATAGGTGTTGATGTCTTCCAGGTGGGGAGTTCTGGAGACGCTGGGCTACTTCAACTTCATGGCCATGCTGCTGGTACAGACCCAGTCCTATGGGATGGATCTGTCCATGTGTATCATCACCGTCATCTCCATCTCCATGTTGTGTTACATCATCGCCGACCTTGACAACCCTTTCAACGGCTTCTTCAGAGTCAACCTCTCTGTGTTTCTGTCGGTCGTCACAAGGCTTGAGGTCATTTACAGTAAGTGCGTCCTCACCATGTGCCGTCACATCAAGGACACACGTGACCATAACCACGTGAGCGTAACCACGTGACTCTTTATGGATCGGGATTTCTTGTTACATGATTTTCTGTATTTATCCTAAGTGCAACAATATTCCATGTCGTATTGACCAAACAGGGTCTACCCGAATAATAGTGATGTTCTTTTAATAATAATGCTTTTTACCTGTATATCTCGGATCTCAAAAGTGCCAATGTATACAATGCCATGTTCCGTCCAACTATTTCTGTCCATAACGGCCTTTCGGTGATACTAATGATGCTTCAATGTTTGTTTATTAAATTATGTATACTGTATATTTAGAAACAGCCTTCAAGGGAACATAGGATGTTTTGTGTTCAGATTTGGATCTGGCGTGGTGATGTGTAACATCACGGAGGAAGCTCTCTCCTCAATAACTGAACATCTTGCAAGGTGATAAGACTAGACAATGCGTTCCTGTGGTGTCAGTGAACATTTTTGAGTTCGTTGTGATTATTCACGTCAAACAGGTGCAATCGTATTGATCAAATAATCCCGTTTCGAGGTGCCTCTGTTCCAGTATAACCATGATGCAGCTGTGTGATGCAGTAGGCACCAGATAACTGGTTGTCTCCCACACCTTATAGAATGAATCCAATATGGAATCCAGCTCAAGTCTAGGATGGTTTTGCAAGTCTAGATTACCTTTTATCTAGGTTTGTTCTGGTCTCCGTTTGGATTTTGGTTTCTATTTTGTACATACAGCTGTACATATTTTTTAAGAAGATAATTTTATTTCTGAGACTAAATAATAATTGAGGGAGATCAAATACACATGCACTAGGACAATTTGCACCATGACGATTCAGTGGTTGGTATATGTCCTATCCATCAGGAGATGAAAGAGTAAGAATATACTCGGAACGTTGTGTTCCTCACAATAAAGAGGTTGATGAAGGAGTAAAAATATACTCCCAAACGTTGTGTTCCTCATATTAAAGAAATTGACATCCATAAATTCTCACCTTTTTTGGAAATAAACTCACAACATTGAGAAAATTTTGAATGACTTACTTGAGAATATTTGTGTCAGGAGCCGAAGGCAAGATGCTGCCTAAACTGAGATGTGGAAAGGCCCTAAACCCAATTAGACCTGACGGCCTCCGTGGTGTAGTGGTTAGAGCGTCCGCCCGGAGAGCGGAAGGTCTCGGATTCGATCCGCGGCCGCGTCATACCAAAGACGTTAAAATATGGTACTTGTTGGTCCCTGCCTGGCACTCGGCATTAATGGGTACAACAAGGACTGGTCGGCTCGGAGTCAGTATAATGTGTCTGAGTTGGGTATTCATGCTTCACTGCGGCATAGTATCTCAGTGGGCTAGCCCTATAAAACCAGCTAAAGTCTGAACAAAGAACTTAGTTAAGCACCCACTGACATATCCCACGATTGAATGAGCCCGATCTTAACCCTTTGGAGCATATCTGGGACATGATTGGTCGTCGTGTGCAACAAAGGGATCCCCCTTTACAGAACCTGGCCCAATTGGAAGCGGCTTTACACGAGGAATGGCTAGACTGCCCCTTCAGAGGATCAGGAAGCTGACAGGGGGTATGAGGAGGAGAGTGTTGACTGTCACAGAGTCTCATGGAGGTTACACTCTGTATTAACCTTGCATCGTGAAAGACACGCAAAATGACATTTTGAATGTCCACTTTCACCATTAAATGCAACATTAAACATTCCAGGGCCATACTTGTAGACATGGTTTTGTATGAAAATCAGTGGGTTGTTTTTTTTAAAAATGAGCAATTATCATCATAAAATCAACATGGATTCCAATCGGGTTTTTTATGAGTCAAAGGATCATACGGGTCAGAAGAAACTTGTCCATCGTGGTCACCACGAGAAATTTTATGTACGTGTTGAAAACCTATCATTGCAAAAATACAGTGGGTGCCTAATTAAGTTCTTTGTGTATATCTGTTTAAAATTAATGCTAAGTCTCTGAAAAATATGTAACTTCGATAAAAACTCGTAACTTCCAAGTGAGATGTTCATCTGTGCCTGCCTGAAGAAAATCTCTCTCCATTGTTGTCGTTCACGATACCTACACCTAAACGAATGCCAATGTAGGGACGGATGGATGGATGTCAGTGTATGTATGTCTGGCCACGCCCACTTTTGCTTCTATGTCAACGTAAGGTACGTGTAGCGTGGTGTACACAGCATCTGAGGTAAAGAAGTACAGACGAGTACAATATACTGATTACAGGTGAGTCCAGGTTACAGCTGGACATTTGGGCCAACCTCTTTTGACATGTCGTAAACCATCCCCAAACCCCAGCGTATTTCGATCAGAGGAATGACCAAATATACCACTTTGCTAAGGATAACTTTTTGACAATAAGGGGAACAGATTGCCCTACACGCTATCGACAAGGTGTGCACGAGGTGCTTAAAAATTCAAGGCAAAACATGGATTACACAACAGTCTCGTTTCCTGTTGACTGGGTTCCGTCCTGTTGCGCAACTTTGTGCAATAACCAGTCCAGAATTTTGAGACAAATTCATTCAACTGGATACATAAATGTTAATCAGTATTATTTGATACATCTAAGCACTTGTATATTGCAACACTACGCTCTTTCTAATCCTTGCAAACACGTCGTGCTCTGTCGTACAGCGTGCTCTGACAAACGAAATCTGGAAATCTCAAAACAAGGCTCTGCCGCTAGAAAAGTTTGGCGGTCTGGTACGGACTTGATATTATATCAATCACGTTGTGCGTTACAAAACTACACTGAATAAGCGCAAAGAACACATATCAGGTGCAACCAGTGAGCCAGATGACTTGTGAATCATTTTACCTCATCAAACGGGCATTCTGTGACGTCTTAGTTAAGGTCATGCTGCCTACACCTCGCCATAAAATATAGAAATACGATATTATTAAAAGTTTAAAATTAAAATTAACTTGTAAATACCATTGTTTTAGAAACAAGGAATTGGAATTCAGTGTAACCATAGTTGTTTGTGGTGTCTCTTTCACTTTCACACGAGAAAATTCGGATCGGCTGAAAAGTAGGTCATTGTCTGAATAGGTTAATGAGACTCATGTTTCGGTTTGTGAGAATCGTGATAGAATCGTTGCACATCATAATCAAAGAGTACAGCAAAGTTTGCTACTGAGGACTGCAACAACTGAATACACTTATACCCCCTTCCGGATCAATGTGTCACCAAAGTACGATCAACATTGAATCGATATCAGCTACCTAGAGGTGGTCGACAGTGTTCCATGGCACAGGGGGAAGACAAGTGTATCCTGATTGTAGCAGTATGTGACCGTCGCCACACTCAGAAATTACCTGAGCGGCGTTAATACAACAACAGAAAAGTAAAAGAGTGCAAGCTTGGTTAATTTCTTTTATCACGAAGAAAACAATTACAAATTAAAAGTGACTGAATTAATGACAATCTAATATGTATTACATTCCTTGGTAACGTAGCTTTCATTACAAAATGAGTCCACAAGTGATGTTGTCCAATATCTTTACCATTTTGGTGAACCCATAAGATATCATGATGACAACCTTGCATTATCAACACATATCTTGGATTCAAACCTGTGACTGTCGGATCCCTGTACATCTAAGGGACAAAACTCATATGTTCTGGTCATCTGGGTCTCCCTACAGTACAAGTACCATGAGCTGGACAGGCACTTGTCCTACTGCAAGCACAGGCAATGTTCACATTATAACTATATAGCATATAGTTTGCATAGTAAGCATAACAAGTTACACATAAGACATTTGTGAAATAACATGAAAGATGGAGCTTAGAAGTATAGAACATATTCAAAGATAGATATGTGATAAAGTAAGGCTTAGTGAGACACAAATGTGAAACATTTAGGCCTGCATCTGGGGCACATAGACATTAATATCTGGTTAAACTCTTCAATATTGGGCTGCAGAGGTGATTGTTTCACAGTTCGTTCAACCACCATGTATAGTGTAATAAAGCGACGAGGAAGTATTCTCTCCAGAGGTAGTTTAAATTTTGATTTTTCGGAAAAAAATGTATATATTCATGACAACATTCTTGCTGCACAGAGGCGTCGGATTAGTCAGGAGTTATTATTAGAGCAGTCATGAAAAATACCATTGAATGTACAGATATTACAAGTAGGTTGCTGTACACCACTACACGATATAGGGGCGGATACTGCTTTTTGAGATGGGGATTTCATAGGAGTTTCAATGGTCATTTGATAAACTTTCAGGACAAAAGTGGGGATGCGCACCCTTGCAAACACCACCACATGTTTCTTGTCACACAAGAAGTGGGGGAGGTATTTCTGTAGCCAGCTGGTGAGATAATATTGGTGATCCAATAAATGATGCTGGGACCGAGAGTTGCCACCACTCCAGGTAATCGGCCTCCCCGGGTTCTCGGTGACAGGCTCTTGACAGTGACTTCCGGCACATGGCAGTAGGAGCCAACCCCAACTCCGTTCCATTACGCAGACTAGATTGACGCAGTGACGCCAATACATTGTGGCGTAATGCAAAAAGTGCACATTATCGTCTAATAAAGTACTGTCGGCGCCTTTGATCTTTCTCCGAAGCATCTCAGAAAGATTAGCACTCAACCTTCTTTGTAAACCAATCAAATGATCCCATTTCCCTGTGTCAATAGACTCTTAATAATTAAGAACCGAGCATTCAGCGGGCATTTAGCAAGCTGCCGATTGGTCAAAAGATACACAACAATGTTTTCCTTTTTACTGACGTGAGGTCCACGTGACTGAATATCGTGAAGACAATAAATGAAAATACCTGACGTGACACTTTAGGAACAAACATAATGCAATAGATCACTTATTGAATGTCAACATTGACTTTCTTTTCCCCTTTACAGTTTCATCACAATTAGGTATATCCAAAATAATCCTTTTACCATTTTCAGTAGGATCATTAGAAACAGAAGATTTATTCCTGATATTCTGGGTAGGTTTATCAACACTATCGTTTTTGCATTCCAGTTGGACATGGCGGTCCAAGCCTGTGACTGATGTCCTGTAGAAGTCCAAACTGTTCACGTTGGTAACTTCTCACAGCATAACTTCGATGTTTACTACGACACGTTGGTAACTTCTCACAGCATAACTGCGATGTTTACTACGACACGTTGGTAACTTCTCACAGCATAACTGCGATGTTTACTACGACACGTTGGTAACTTCTCACAGCATAACTGCGATGTTTACTACGACTTGTGACGGACTTGTCTGTAAATCTGCTGTAGTTGTACAGCATGTTAGTTCTCACATGTTAGGCAGCCTGAGTGGTTGGAGATATTCCTACCATCGGTACCAATACCTGCCTGCTGATAAAACTTCTTGTACATCCCCGACAGTTTATTTATACAGCTGACACTGAACCTGGGTAGAACGTCATCAATGGCGTCAAGGGTTTTCCTGTACAGGGGTCGTTTTTTCGGAATCAACAAATATTTGTCATGCAGTTTTACTAGACAGTTTGGGTTTCCGGGTTGTTCATAACGAATGATAGGTTCATCAATGCGGCGATGTTTCAACCCTCCTAGCACATTTTGAAACACGTGACACATACTTAAAGTACCGCTTATCGTTAGATGCATCACTCAAAACATGAAATTATCCGCTTCACGATTTTTTATGTTCTTGGAATCCATGAAAAGCGAACGCTTTTCCGTTGTATCAAAAGACAGCATTACTTAGACCTTCCATCGAATTCAAAGTAAACACAATAGACTCCCACATTTTTCGTTGGTCCACTTCAGTTACTGGGTCACCGGACGCGGACGCCTTTTGCCATTAATTTGCTAATGGGCGCGTCCAATGTCTTACGAAATTCGGCAAAGGTAGGGTCGTCCTCCTTATAAAAATTGATATCTGGTCTGCCAGTCTTGCCGAAGGTATCTCTGCAACACCGATACGATCTGCATCAATGTGTGTGTGTGTGTGTGAGAGAGAGAGAGAGAGAGGGGGAGAGAGAGAGATGGGGGGAGGGGGAGAATGGGACACCGCGATTTGTCCTTCCGCAGTATTTCAAGGATGAAACGTTGCATGCTTACCGGCTAAGGCTTCTTTCTCTACATAGATTTTAAGTATTACTAAACAGAACACCCCTGTTACCTGGAACTAATCAGTTCTAGCTACCAACAAACACGTTGGTCCACATTATGAACTAATAATTACAGAAATTGCTATCAAGGTAAAAGCTTATAGCTTGCTTGTTCAAATGGGTAGGAGTGAGTGAGTGAGTGAGTGTGGTTTTATGCTGCTTTTAGCAATGTCACAGCACAGTAGGGGACACCTGAATGGGTATGACACTATGTACCAATGTCGAATAGCAAACCCAGGTCTCAGTTGTGATGAATGGGCACATGAACCACAGAGCTAGCCCAGCTTCAAGGTGTCGGGTTGGAAGATTTAGTGGACACTTCCGCACATCCCAGCATCAGTTAGGAGTCATTGTCAACATCACCTATCAACACCAATGAACACACTTCTTCTGGTGAATCTCCATTGTCATTGACTGTTCATAAGGTTTCCAGTGATTTTCTCAAGACAGCAGTGATACATATAAAGAGATTATTTGCTGTAAATTATCATGAGACTGATGAAGTGTGTCCCATAAAGTCACGTCTGACTAATACATCTCCACCATGGCAAAGCGCGTGATTCCCCCACCACGTATTTCCCTCATTCGTCCACAGTGACGTAACACTGTCAACATGGATCGAGATGTCGCATCCATCTTCATCTTGGCGAACTCCTTCATGTCTCCCTCCACCACGAAAAACGTATCTGCAATGACACTATTGCGAGTCAGGTTGTCATGGACAAAGTAGAAGCAGCACCAAATACTCCAAGCATCAACATAAAGCAATGATATAAGATAAATTATCATTTAAGAAATGCAGGTTCTTCTGTGGTTGTATCAGTCATCTTAAGTTTACTTAGGTAATTTTTAGTGGCAGAAAACGACAAACGCTTGTAAAATGTCTGGAACAGAAGACGCTGCACTGGAGTGGGATATATAGAGTTGGTTGTTGTGAACAAACATATCAGTCTTTGATGGTTGGACAACATTCATGATGGAGCAGTTTCTAGAGGGTATTAGGGGTGCAACAAATCCAATATGAGACGAATATGATACAATCGTGTATAGACAGTAACGAACACTATTACTGGCTAACAAATGCAAGAACAAGTCAGCTGTTGATGTACCATTCAGTATAATCAGTGACACAATAACAAAATACATTGTTGACAGCGTTAATTTACATGACAAAGACCAGTGACCACAGTACTGTCAAAACAAATATATAATAGTGTTGACTCCTACTGTGTCTGGCACAGATATATTCAAATTCAAGTAAAACACTCCTATATTAAAAAACATAATCATGAATATTCGATTCTAGTGTTCGAAAATAACAAATCTATTTCATGAACAAATGTGTTTTGATTCACTGAATCATAACAGCCCTAGTAAGTAATATATAGGTGCAACACAAGGGAGATCTGGGTCCCACTACAACTTGACTTGTGACTTATAACTTAACAAGGTCAGAAGGGATACCTGGCTAACCAACACTATTCAGGATTAACGAAACACACTACTAGCCTTCCTCAAGACATTCAACAAGTGACAAATTAGGGAAAGTCGCAAATAAATTAGTTTGGGGGTGATTTAACATGACCAGACAAATCATATGATATCATTTCTTGATATAAAAAGTTCAGTGTGGATTAACAAGGAAACAATACCTTTACAATCTTTGGATTCCTGCAATTTGAAAGTCTCGTATCTTTTCCTGTTGACATCTGACAGTTTGGTTCTCTTCATCTTGAGAATCTTGTATTTAGCCAGGAAAGTTTTATTCAAGTCATCAATTACACCATTCAGTTGGTTGTATGTGAGTCGGCCCTTCATGTACCTGTAACATGCAGCAAATTTTACAAGACTAGAAATACCACCGACTGGTTTTAATTAGGTTTACACATTTACTCATGGAGCAGTCATTTTACTCCTCTTCAGGCAACTTCAATATTGATCTAATAATGAATAATGTCACACCACCATCATTTCCTTGAAGTTTCATTGTAAAACATTTTATTTCCATTGATTCTAGAATAACTCGAAATACAAATGCCCCTTTAACTTTATTTTTTCAATGCATCACCCAGCACATTTGTTTATGATGTTGGTCTGTAGGTCACGGAAATGTGGACAACATAATCCAGCCAATCATTTTGTGGGTGTAGGTGGTACAAAATGTGCAATGGGATTCAAACTTTGGACGTATAAGCTAGATGGGACACTGTTTCCACAGACTGAAGACGTAAACCCTAACAGTAATCAGACGAGAAAATGGTGTCACATTGGATGACACTGTGCTTCAAGAGCAATGATCCATGCCATCTGGGTATGATGACACCCAATCCATGAAGACACGGAGTCTGACCACTTAATCCATTGGTCACCAGTTTTGACCAGCTTAGGTTGCAGAAGACTACTCTAACATGATATCCCACCGTAGGAATTGGATATCTTGAAAACATAACACGAAACAAAACGATCATATGTATAACATTTCAATAAATTGTGTGATTTCTATAAGTCACAGAAGTAAATATAGAGCAGACATTATGACCGCTATGATCTTGACTAAGAAAACATATACAAGAAATCACTGCATTATCAATTGACACAAATCACTAATGGCACGTACTACTGATTATCCACATTTGGTACCAGCAAAATGACAAAAGAGCAATAAGCTGTTGAACCTATTTTCACTCAAAGATATTAAACGTTCAAACATACTTGGGCACAGTGTCAAACTCATCCACAGTGAGGTATTCTATAGGGGGACAGTATATCACCTCCTTCACCGGCCTCAACACCTCTACAGCCTTGTGTTTGATGGAAGATGTTGTCCCATTCTTGTCAGGCTTACAATGCAAATCACTGAAGGAGACAGACAAATATTCTTGTACACAAAAACAAATTACACTTTAATAACCAACTTTGTAAAGTGAAATGGCAGAGAACAATATCTATAACTTGAGAGAATAACTTATTTCATTATTTCTTTAACAGAAATAAATAGTGATTTTACCTGAAAATTACAAATATCTGCACAAATAAATATGTAAAAACTGTTTCAAACATATAGGGGATTGTTGTCAAAAATGTCTAAACATCATCATTCATCATGTGTTCTAAATCATCCTGAAACAACTGTTACTCACATGTGTTGGCCTGGTACAGGTTTGTTGGGGAGTCGAGTCGGCAGGTGCTGTATGGTATACTTCAAATCCTCTATCACATCTTGGTATGTTATTTTCAATTCCTGAAATCAAAACATTCAGAAATAGTACCACCACAGGTCAAACATACTGCCATTAAATGTTCCAATGTACCTCTATTGTTTCAAACATATTTACACATCAGTTAACATACTTTATCTCGTGGACATATTTAGGATTTAATATAAATGGTTTGGTGGCAAATTTGAAGAAAATGTCATTATATTAAAAAATGTCAATTTCTCTGCAGTCTTTATTTCTTTTTGTTTGTGATATCTTAACATGATCACGTCCTGTGCAACTAAACATTTTCCCTATCTATCCTATTACCCAGTAAAGTGTATGAAACTGCTCTTATGCACCAAAAAGCCTGTAAAATTTCTAGATCGACAGGAAAATGACAAAGACTTAAACAAACAAAACAGCACAGTATTTTGCTTGTAAAATGCATTTTTCTCACATGTACCAAATGCCACACATCTATCTAAGCCATTCCTAATTCCCAAGATTACATTTGGCCCTGAAACTAATAAACATCATTAAAGGTTAACATGTGCACAAGCTGTTAATTATGGTGACAACCTGTGCCTTTGAGACTGCTTCCTTCCCTTTCTGCAGCTCAGCTTTCATCTGTGACAGGATACATTGCAAACCTTCTAGCTCCTTCCAACAGACACCAGCAACTTTTGGCAGGATGGGTCATGCTTAGCCTCAGTCAGGTCATATGCTGTGTGCAGGTTTGATAGCTTGGTGTCAAAATGATGAGCCAAATCAATGAGTGTAGTCGAATCCATCTGTGTAAATGATAAAAGATTTATAACATAACTTCAGAAACAGTGTCTGGGTTGATGGAAGCCAATAAAGATAACCCAGAAGTTACCATTTGTGTAACAAACGATTCAGATCCAGTACAATCATCCAAATAAAACTTGTTTCCAGAACACACAAATTGTTATGATTCTGCAAACAGAGGTGAGGTTACACTAATTGTTTATGATTATTTAATGACATATACTAGAATTATAGATAACAACTGGTTCGGCATCATCGTGGACTTTTGACTACGAAATGAATTTATGAAAAATTCTCTTATTTTCACGAATGTTTATTACCTATCTAAATTACTCTTAACTTAACTACTTTTACCATCTAGATTAATATTCAACACGGAACCGACTACAATGAATATTCTGCCATGACTACCGTTTAAGTATCCTCGTGTTATGTTTTTTCGGACACTGATCAGAACATCCGTTGTTGTCTCGATTATCGCATGAACAAAAATTATTGTAAACATGTCACTGACATTTAATGATACCCTCATCCTGAACACAAGCCATCATTCAAGAATTTACACTGTCTGTGTGACTCAACAACCTTCGTTACAGCCCGAGTGAGCACTGCCATCCGAAAACCCACGATCTGACGAGATATTCAAATCAAATTTCAATGTAGAAAAAGCATCTTGACTTAAATGGAACAACAAGTTGGAAATAAAATAATGAAATGAACAAAAACACACACTGAAGCAGTCTTATCCTGTAGAACTGCTTCTTCTTCAAATGGTATATACAAACTTCTTGAATTGCTCTCAGTGTTTTAAGACCCAGTATTTACGGTCGGTAACTAATGTTTTCATATTTTGCGCCGTTCTTCTAAGGGAGACAACCTGTTGTCTCGTTTAATCTCGTGTATCACTTCCTTAGCAATGTGACGTCATTTCCTTAGTACACAAACAACGAGGATATATTGTTTGGCGACAGTAATCTGGAAATTAGAACCTTATATTTTGCCTATCACTGTCGCTGTCAGATGTCGCCGTAGATTCTTTACCTTTGTCGGTCCATTTATCACTATCCGTGTGACCCTTGACGATACTTGTGAAGCGAGAGCGGTGAATATTTACACAAAAAGTTAGGCATTGCCTGACAAGGACGTGACATCAAAATGATGATCTCAAGACCTCGGAGGACCCGGGAAGTTACCGGGCCTACACCTGCATCAGTAGCAATTGTAAGTTTCAATGTATAAAAAAATAATGAAGTGTCTAATCTCTATGTTATATTTTGACATTTGTATAAATATTAATCACCAATGATAACATGTGAAAAAATACCACCAAACCCCGTTCTTCTTCAAAGAAGAAATGCCTCAAGGCTAAAAACTTAATCAACAACCATTTGTTTGTGGTTATCTGTGATTGAATCTAACCCAACAAAAGTCTACTGTACTCTAGTGGTCTTTATGCTTAACATTAATTCCTCTATTCTGCATAGTCAAAGTGTGGCTGAAGTATTGCTGATGTGACTATAAATCTTAACTCACTAACTTACTGCATTCTGCATCTCATCCAATGTCTCTAATGGGTTATAGCTAAAACTGCAACACAGCAAAACAGCAATGAGTGAAAACATCACCGGTTGGCATAAATGGAATCATCCAAAACACAATTCTGTTTTGGGAAAAAAGGCACCATTTATATCTTAGTTTCATTTTTAAGAACAAGCTATAAATAAAAGGGGGTGGAGAGGGGCTTGATTTATGGGTATCCTTTTCCATAATGTGAAGAACATGAAGTTTTGGAGTATCTGAAGGATGGTGAATGACACACCTGATGAAGGAGTAGGAATATACTTCGAAACATCATGTTCGTCATATTACAGAAATTGACATCAATAAAAATTTCCCTTCTTCATATGTATCACTTCTAAATGCTATTCAAAGAAGCTGTGAATGAAAATATATCACAGCAACAGAACTTCACCTGAAGCGAAAGGTCATTATTGTGAGACGAAAACAGAACCAGATATATTTCACTATGGTTTTTAAAAGAAGTTATGAATAAATTTTACCTCAAAGGTTAACATGTTAACACAAACAGTTGTGTAGTTAATCACCCCCGATACATGTTAACAAAAGAAATGAGAACAAATGTTGATTCTTATGGTTCTCTCCATGTATTTTTATCCTTGCTTTCATATGTTAATTAATACAACCAGACCAAATTTGTTTCGTATTTACAGACTCTATGGCCAATGTATTTAGATGCAAAACAAAATCATAACTAAATGAGTCAAAACTGACTTGAAGTCCTTCTTTGTCTGACAGAAAGCCAGACCACCAAATGTGCGTCCTCCAGAGTACCTGATTCTTGAAAGAAGGAAGCAGGAGGAAAAATTGAGAGCACATCAAGAAATGACTAGTTATATGGAAGTCTGTGATTTGAAGAATGAATGGGAAAGATGGACTGATAGAAAAATACAGCTAAACACCGTGAAAAGGAGGGTTGAAGGACTTATGCAGGCAAATGAATTCGGTGTTGAAGATAGGAGAGAGAGGTATGTAAAATATATTTTTTATCTGTTTATCTGTTGGAATTACTGTGGCCAGTATTTCAATAGTTTCTGGTATTTCTAAATCATGCATACAAATTTCTGAGGATGATGTCATACCTTTGTGTAGTTTGTGCATGATCCAGTGAAGTGAATCAAACTGTCCAAAAGCTGCACAGAATAACTGACATTGGTCATGATTTTATTGGAGGCAAATAGAAGAGAGAGCTTGTGGTTTTCTGTGAATGGGTCCAGTTCTCAACATCAGAATCCTCTGCCATCCCTCATGAAATGCAGGCATCAATTCCTGCAGATTTTGAATGGAATACCTCTAGCTCAAACTTTGTATACAAGATAATCCCAAAGATGTTTGATAGGGTTCATTTTGGGTCTCCCTGCTGGTCATGGTAATGTGGTGATGGCATTGTTGAACAAATGGGCAATGAGAGCCTTGCCAACATTGTCCTCCATGACTATTGGATGACTGGCAGTGGGGTGGTTATCCTTGTCAACATTGTCCTCCATGACTATTGGATGACTGGCAGTGGGGTGGTTATCCTGGTCAGTGGGGTGGTTATGACCTTGGGGGTTATCCTGTCAACAACATTGTCCTCCTCCATGACTATTGGATGACTGGCAGTGGGGTGGTTATCCTTGTCAACATTGTCCTCCATGACTATTGGATGACTGGCAGTGGGGTGGTTATCCTTGTCAACATTGTCCTCCATGACTATTGGATGACTGGCAGTGGGGTGGTTATCCTTGTCAACATTGTCCTCCATGACTATTGGATGACTGGCAGTGGGGTGGTTATCCTTGTCAACATTGTCCTCCATGACTATTGAATGACTGGCAGTGGGGTGGTTATCCTTGTCAACATTGTCCTCCATGACTATTGAATGACTGGCAGTGGGGTGGTTATCCTTGTCAACATTGTCCTCCATGACTATTGGATGACTGGCAGTGGGGTGGTTATCCTTGTCAACATTGTCCTCCATGACTATTGGATGACTGGCAGTGGGGTGGTTATCCTTGTCAACATTGTCCTCCATGACTATTGGATGACTGGCAGTGGGGTGGTTATCCTTGTCAACATTGTCCTCCATGACTATTGGATGACTGGCAGTGGGGTGGTTATCCTTGTCAACATTGTCCTCCATGACTATTGGATGACCTTGGTTATCCTTGTCAACATTGTCCTCTATGACTATTGGATGACTGGCAGTGGGGTGGTTATCCTTGTCAACATTGTCCTCCATGACTATTGGATGACTGGCAGTGGGGTGGTTATCCTTGTCAAAATTGTCCTCCATGACTATTGGATGACCGGCAGTGGGGTGGTTATCCTTGTCAACATTGTCCTCCATGACTATTGGATGACTGGCAGTGGGGTGGTTATCCTTGTCAACATTGTCCTCCATGACTATTGAATGACTGGCAGTGGGGTGGTTATCCTTGTCAACATTGTCCTCCATGACTATTTAATGACTGGCAGTGGGGTGGTTATCAAGATGGTGACTTTCATCACTGTATCCCTTGTCATGTCCTCAACTTGTGGGTTTCAAGAAGCCAGCACTCCACTCTCCATGGCCGGCACAGTTCTTTGGTATGGGATTGTGTCTTGCCAGATGAATTAGAACTTGGCCATCACGGCCATTGGTATTAGTCTGTCTTAATTGACTGGAGGCCTCATTCTTTGTCAGAAGGTTAACTAATAACTATGTGCTTAATGTTCAAATTATCACTGATGATGCGACAAGACATCCCAGCATCATGCATGCCAAGAACTTGCCATTGTGTAATTTCTGAAAGTGACAGTGTCTTGCCATGTCAAGAAAAGATCATTTTTAGCACTGTCATCTTTTAAACATTCCAGACATCCATGGTCTAGGCATACTGCAATTATCAAATTTATACCCCAAGTTTCCTTCACAGCATGTAACCATGTAATCCATGCCTTTTGAGATATTGAGTGAAACACATGTTTTATGCTAAAGTATGATCCCCTGTTTTGATCATAATTTTAAACTTACCCATGAATTCAGGTGGTGCTTATTTATGCTCTTGTGTATACAGGTGATGTATTTTTTTGTGATGGAACTGCTAAATATCATGGTTTCAGTTAAAACTGTACTGTATCTGAAGCCATCATAACCTCTTGTGAATGATTGTAGGTTGCGAACAATGTTGAGGAATGAGGAACAACAATACCTGGAGGAAATGACAGCGAAGGAGGAGACAACTATTGAGAGACAAGCCAAAATGAGAGAGCGAGCCAAGTTTCTGAAAGAAAAGCGTGAAGGAGAACGACTACAACTTGTGCAGGACAAGCTGGACCAACAGTTCAGGTGAGACTGGGTGTACAATTGGATAGACAAGCTTAGTAAGGCTAGTGGTTTAAATTAGTGGTGTAACGAGTCATCGATAGTATCGATGTTTGCATCGTCAAATACGTGATACGAGTGCATCGATACAAAACACATTTAGGCAATATATCAGGATATTTATATCGCAAGGGTCCATGATACATCAATGTATCGCCACAAGAGACGATATATCCCGATACAACTTAAATACTACTTAAAGTTGTAAGGAGTATTGCATTAGGAATAGGAACGGAGAACGGAGTCTCTTTGAAATCCTTTGAATTAAAAAACAAATTGAACCTATAGGAATTTGTTTGTGTCTGCTGTCTTCGTTACATAAACAAAGGAGTTAGTGTATAAGTGAAAGAGTGTGAACATTTTTCAAACTTTGTGAACTGTAGAATACTTGTCTTCAAGTACTTGAATTATGTTTCAGTTGTTTGACAAATAACACCATTTATTAACAACTATGAACGATGCCTTAGCTTTATTAAGAAAGAAAACAAGGAGGATAAAAGTTTGAAAACATACCTTAGAGTTTTTTTCAGTGATTCTGAATTCTGATACAAACATTGAATTGTTTGTGAAACATTTGTGCAGAAACACAACTTCCCAAGGGAAACTTCAGCTTCAGTTTATATATATATTAGATCAAGGTATACTGAATATGTGTGACTGTGCTTTCTTAAGCATTAAATGCTGAAACTTTATTAGATGAACTGCTGTTTATGTGTGTGTGAATGTAACACAAGTTCTGCTGTATAACAAATAAAGTTTCAGTCATTTTATGTATCATATCTGTTCTGTTATGAGAAATTGTAACGTATCGGAATACGTATCGTATCGCCACCATTGTATCGTGATGATAATCGTCTCGCAGGTTCCTTGCCAATACTTTCATGATATATCGACTCGCCTCATTAAACTGGTATCGGGATATATCGTCTTGCCACTTAGGCCACAATACACAGCCCTAGTTTAAATGAAAAATGATGTCAGACTGGCAACTCTACACATGTAAAGTTTTCTAAATTGTTGACCAACTTCGGGATAAAATTAGAATCAAATTGGCAATGTTTTTTCCAAATTTATTCCAACTGGAATGGTAAATTCAGAAACTAAGTAATAAAAGAATAAGACTGGAGAAAAGTTCCGACTTTCAGATGATACTTTTTAAAAATTGAGCAAATGTCTTCTTGTTAGAATCTACTATTTTCTAGTTTCTACACTACCGATGTTCAGTGTGATGCTCTCTGTACAGGAACCAGTGTGAGGAACTCAGGTCCACACTATCCAAGAGGCAACAGGACCAGGTGTGTGCTGAGCGCCTGGATCAACTCCGTTACAAAGAGGAGATTGAGATTGAGAAGGCAGCTCAGGACCAGATGTATGCTCAGTTATGGGAGGAAGATAGACTGAAGAAAGCAGAACGTGAGGAACGTGAGGCCAAAGCACAGCATGAACGCAACCGTGAAGTTCTGGATGTTCTTCGTAAACAGATGGCAGCACTGGAAAAGCAGAAGGATGAAGAACGTCTGCTCAAGGATGAAGAGGCACAGCTGCTCGTGAGTTGTGCCAAGCTCTGATCTTGCCTTAATGTAATTTATACACCCATTATAAGCTGTATTTGTCCATGTGTTGCAGCAATGAATATATGTGTGAGTGAGCATTTGTGTTATGTAAAGTGCCTTCTTAAAGGAAGAATATGTTTTGCCTCTGATATATGGAAGAACACTCAATACCACTAAAATCCTGCCTGTTCTGTTTCCAACATGTTTTTCACAAACATAAGGCTGTTGAAATACAGTCATAGAATCTCTGTACATGCTTCCTTACTATTATTCGATATCCTATCTTGCCACTCATTTGCCACCATTCTTGAGATACTGACGTTCCTCCTCACAGAGAGAGCAGGCTGCACTGAGGAAGATGGAGGAGCAGCAGGCGCAGGCAGAGAAGATCAGGAAGCAGAAAGAGACACGGGATATGCTGGATCTCTCCCTCAAGATGAAGATGAAGAAGAAGGCCAGGGAGGAACAGGAACAGCTTGCATTTGACCTCAAGATGCTGGAGCAACTCCTTGAGGAGTCCAGAAATGAGGCAATGGAACAGATGCAGAGGAAGGTAAGTACAGATTGATAGGCTCCACGAACTCTCCGCTCTTCCAGTGAGAAACTGTTAAAAATACCAAAGTGCAACTTAAAGTCAGCAGGACAGCGCTCTTTCAAATACATTGCGCCTTCAGTTTGGAATGCTCTCCAAAAGGAACTCCGCAATTCCCCTTCTCTAAGTTCATTCAAGACCATTCTAAAAACATTCTTATTTAAACAAGCTTTCCTTTAATGTGTCCTTTCCGTTGTCAGAGAGAAGCGCAAAGAGTCCTTTCGGAGATTTGCGCTATATAAATGCTATCCATGATGATTATTATTATTATTATAGGGTGGTATTGTGGTGTGGTTAAGAAGTGAGCAATCAACTGGGTGAGGGCATCAGTCTGTACTACATACATTTTATCTGCTAACCAGAGTAGGTTGCTTGGCAATTGATATTCTTTCTGCTGCTCATACGTAATGACTTGGACATGCAAATTAATGCTTGATGAAACTTAAATTTTCCTGTTCAGCGTGAACTTCGTAGGAGGACCGCCGTTACCGTGACTACCTGGCACAACTTATGGCAGAGGAGAAAGCCAAGGAGATTGAGTTAGAGCGCTTGATCAATGAGGAGGTGGAGAAGATGTGGCAAAAGAGGCTAAATCAGTGGAAGCTGGAGAGGCTGGCCCGCAAAAAGCTGCTACAGGATGTACTTGATGGACGTGCGGTGCAGATCCAGGAGAGATGTGAGTATATGCCCCAGCATGGAGGTTCATTGCAGCTTTTAGAAGGTAGCAAGTTACTCTAATCTGCATATTTTAATCAGTGGGTGTATTTTATGTGTTGATGTTATTTCTCTGATGTGCCGATGTTATCTCTCTGCAGTGGCACAGAATGAGCTGAGGCAGCTCGAGGCGCAGCGGGAGAAGGAGGAGCTAGTCCGCATCATCGAGGAGAACAAATGTCTCGAGCAGGAGAGGGCAGAGAAGCTCTGGCAGCGGAACATGCAGTACCAGCATGACCTGGAGGGTCAGATCGACCATAACAATCGCATGAGAGATGCTCAGATACGGAGCCAGGAGGAGGAAGATCGGCTTGGCATGCAGGCTGAGCGCGAGTATCAGGAGAGAATCAAGAGTGCACTCAAGAGTGTCCATGTTGAGAACATGCATCCATTCCGTCGGCATCTCATGGCAATGCAGAATCAGGCATAGAGCCTTTTTGGAAGGGAGATAACTGTGGCTAATTGCTTTTGACAAATAGGAGGACATGCAATACTAAAATTCATATTTCTTGCAAGTCTCATGTGAGGTCAATATTTAGAGCTGTTGTGTCCTTTGAAGTGTTATTACTTTTTAATTGTACTGCAATGTACATTGTATTTATAGATGATGATAAATATGCAGATTTTATTGTCTAATAATATTTTTTAAGCGTCAACTCCGTCCAGTAAGATTTTTGCTGTTATAACCGACATCATCTGTCCTGATGCATCTGTTTATGGTTATCATGATGATGGTATTATTGAATGAATGTACATGGACTAGAATACCGCAGACTGTTTTCTACTAAATATTTAGGTCCACTTGCATCCAAAGTTGAAAAATGTCGTAATGTTCCTTAAGAAGTATTATCAAGCTTTGGGCAGTGTAACATTATGCAAATCAATGCACAGTTTAGAAATGTTAGATTCCAGAATCTCCAGTGTTCACAATTGTACAAAGACAAATAGAAGGTAATCTCAATTTCACTTATGAAGCTTCATGGTTTCATTCATATGTATCCAGGGGAGGTGACATATTTGCATTTTCTGACTTTCTCACTAGCAAAACTGTCTATCAAATGAGGATTAATTAGTAGGTAGTGATATATCTGATATGACATGATATGAAATCCAACTAAATCTAACTGGTGTTCACACATCAGGAGGGTGAAGATTTGACAGTCTGGACACAAACCAGTGAATCTGTTTGTCCTTATATTGTTTGTTGATGTTGTTTGTAAAGATGTTTGTACACTCTGTGTATGATCTCTGCTGAATTCTACTTCCATCCTTGTTTCTTGTTACATGAAGTTTGCAAGCATGAGACTATCTGTCCCTGTGTTGGTCAGGCACAATTCAAGTCATAACAAAAGCATTATTTGCTCAGAAAAATGTGCAGAAGTTTTCATGAACTGTACTTATTTAATATTTTCCTCACTCACAAATTCACAGTAACTGAAATTTAACATAGGCTGAGGTTGATACAAATCTATTCACGAGTGCAAGTTGTATATATTTGACACGACCATGCAATTCAAATCTGTTATGATATGTGTATGTGCATTCTTTGTTGAATTATATAAATGACCATATCTTAAATTTACAATTGTAAATAAAGTATATTTATATCATATCAGATTCTGTTAACTTCATGGCTATACTTTTGGACAAAGGAATATCTGAAAGCATTTACTGACTAAGGGGGCCTAGTGGTTAAAGTGTTTGCTGGTCACACCGAAGACTTGGGTTCATGCCCCTGTGCTGGTAGTGTTTGGAGCCAATTCCTAGCAACAATCCATGCTAGAGGTGACACCCAACAACATCACATTGTAACCATCTAATCCTCACTGTGACACCCAGCAACATCACATTGTAACCATCTAATCCTCACTGTGGTCTGAACATGCACCAAGCAACACCGTACTGAAGTTGTAAATACTGACTGGTAGGTCAAAGTGATATCATGTCTCAATGCTTCATTTTAGAGAGCAATGTGATAAGATTCTCACATTTTATGTGTATTTCTTTACATTCTTTCTCATAAAGACAATGACTAATGCACTGATATACCTGCTCAATATACACAGTGAAGGGTTGTCAGAGGTTGCACATGTGCAAGAGTCAAATGATCATGAAACAGTCACAGCTCACCCAACCAACATGTCCAAAATGCCATGAATTCATTTCATTTGCATACATTAAATACTTCTTTCATTTGAATGTTGGATGCAATGGACATTCCAGTTTTCTAGTCATTTCAGCCAGTTAGAAAATGTACTTTGCATCCAACAGCATTAGGGACCCTTCATAATTGATGGCTAGGGGTGGTGGTGGTGATTTATATGGAGAAGCATGTACAATGTGTATGACCAAAAAACACACACAAATACACACACCACCACCAATAAAACAAATAAAAAAATAAAATAAATAAATACATTTATGTACAAAATTGCTGACCCCAACTAGTACGTGTGTACAAAATTGTTGACACCCCCTCCAGCTCCCCAGAACAAAATGGGTGACACACCCCCACCCTTAAAAATCATCATCACCCCCTAGCCATAAATTATGAACGGTCCCTTAGTGTAACAATGTTTACAGTATTTATCTGGAAGTGGTGTATAATTTCATAAATGCCAGTTTCGAGGAAACAATGCCACTTCATCAATTGGTTCATGAAGTCCTCTGGATCCAAGGCCTGGATTAACCCTACTATGGCACAACATCACCTGTGCTTCTGTGTTGGAATTTATCTTCTGACACTCACAAATGAATGTGAGAAGCCCATTTCTGGTGTCCCCCGCCGTGATGTTGCTGGAATATTGCTAAAAGCGGCCTAAAACCAAACTCAGTCAGTCAGTCAGTCAGTCAGTCAGTCAGTCACAAATGAATGAAGAAATAGTGATGTCTTTTGTCCTTGACATTACTTGGTGTCATAAAGGTGACTTGGTGTCATATCCACAACAATGTGAGCACACCCCCACACCCCTTTTGTCCTGAAAGTTTATTACATGACTAATGAAAATGGATGAATATGAACTGTGCACTCTCCCCTTCTGAACTGCGCTATGCCTATGTAGCTGAAACATTAAGTTAATTAATAATATTCATGGTTGTACATATGTCCGTGATTGATGTCCATCTGAATGATTCACCATCTGCTTTTAAACAGAATATGGCGATATATATGCTCAATCAGAAGGTTTTACACCTTAATACTTCAGGCAAATATGCTACAGCCCTTGAAAGCAAGGAGCAAGGTATCATGAACTGGGGGCCCAAAAGAAAAGTAAGCAATCTTACAATCTCACAACTATGATATCGTTTATTGAGATGCAAACTATATGACTCAACAGTTGTACATAGAACAGAGCAACAATTCAAGCACTTTTGTCCTCAAAATTTGAAATACATTCTCTTAAAATCTTGTTTTCTGCACAAAAAACATTGCCACATGAAATAGATTCCAACAAATTATCATCAGATACGTTAAGCATTTTTGCAGACGTAGTGAAAATATTAGAATGTACCCCCTAACAATATAAGTCTACAAGGTGATCGAGCTAATCATGAAAGTCAAGCAACTGAAATCTGTTTCCAATTTGCTACTTTCACTTTGTCGTGGTAATTGCAAACACAAACGATTAAAGGCATATGACATTCAATTTTCATCAGATACGTTAACTAAACCCAGTTAATGACACGCCAACCATTGAAATAATCATAGGATTGAGGGCCTCATGGACGACAGTATGAAATACTTCCTATTTTCCTCAATCATCCCCAGTATATAAAACATGACCTGGTACCCGTTCCTCAAAGCGATCGTAGCGGAAAGTTGATCGTAACTCCCATACTTTAGCATAGACTTACGACTGTTGTACGCTACGATCGCTTTGAGGAACGGGGCCCTGGAGTTTACGTTAGTGGTCATCAGATACGTTTTCATCAGATGCGTTAACCACAAACATTCGGATGACATCGGCCTAATACACATGATAAGCTTTACTTTCCACTTAGAATTGTTTGTGTATTTTCGTTTCTGTCCTGGAGCGTGAACGGATTGTATACAAAGACAAGTAATGATGACTTTATCTCATTCTGTAGCAATTATAATATCATTGGACTAGTAGAAACATGGGCGAAAACGTTGAATGATTTTAAACATTTGTTTATTAACCATGTTTTATATCAGTCTGTGAGACCAAAAGAGAAGAAACTTGGACGACATAGCGGAGGGGTTGCTGTATTTGTACATAATGATTTTGCTCATTATTTCCAGAGGATCCACGATGACTGGATAGACTGTGTGTTTCTAGTATCGAAACATATTTTGATTAATGAGAAGAAACTTATAATAGGAATTGTGTATGTGAAACCTGAAAACCAGGAAAGCAGTGATGGTATTGAAATGCTAGAAAACTATTTTGCTATATTATCAGATGAATTTCCTAACAGTGAATACATTGTTTCTGGTGACTTTAATGCTAGAACTGGTGGGGAAGCTGACTATATCAATTTCGATAATACAGATTATCTTCCAATAGATGATGTTTGTTATGATGTGTACGATATACCTGATGCACGGAAATATAAAGATGAAGTGGTAAATAACTATGGACGTGATTTCCTGGACTTGTGTAAACCTTGAACTTGTTTACTTTGAATGGACGATTCTCAGATGTCGGTGACTACACATACATAGGACCCACAGGCTGTAGTACCCCTGACTATATATGTGTTTCTGCATCGCTATATCAACATGTTCAAGATTTCAACATTGTTTCCCGTACTGAATCTGACCACTTACCACTAACTGCTAGTCTTACTTTATCGATGGAACTGAACCCTGGCTCCAACAGTGATAGCGTCCTTTGTCACCACAGAACAAGATTATCAAAACTACAAAAGAAGCAGGAACTGTTTTAAATCGCTATGTAAGACAAAATAGAATGATTACAAACTGTTCATCAGCACTAGTATTAGGACAGCTGCAAACGACAAGGACTGTAATGACGTTCTGGAAGTTAGTGAAGAAGTACATATCATCACGCAGTACAGAGAATGGCGTCACTCCATCATCATGGGTAGAGTATTTCAGAGAACTTTTAAACCCAACTACTATAGAAGATGCCCAATTCACCGAAGATACATTAAGGTTCATCAGCAATCATACATCTGATGTATGTGCAGCTTGCCAAAATCAAAATGACATTTTATCAATGGAATTCACCAACCAAGATGTGCTCAACGCCATTAGGCACCTGAAAATGGGAAATCTCCGGGTGACGAATGGCATCCCTTCTGAATTCTATAAATCAACGGAAGATATATTAGTACCCTATCTGGTTCTACTCTTCAATAGTATATTGAATTATGGTGTGTAATTCCTGATGCGTGGACATCTGCCATTATAATGCCTATCCACAGGAAAGGAAATATGAGTAACCCTGATAACTTCCGGGGATATCATTGCTAAATATCATGAATAAAATATTTGCTTATGTTATGAATGGAAGACTAGAACTATATCTCGAGTTAAACAAAACTATTGGGGATTACCAAGGAGGATTTCGTAAAGACCATTCAACGATTGACAATATCTTTATCCTCCAAGCAGTTGTGTCTAAATATATCTCTCGAAAGAAGGGGAAACTATATTATGCCTTTATAGACTTTAGAAAGGCGTTTGACATGGTGAATAGAAATAAACTGTTTTATATTTTATTACAAAATGGTATCCATGATAAATTTTTCAATGTCATAAAAAGTATGTATACTAATGTTAAATCAACAGTTACTTTTGATTATGGTAAACAATTAACAAACTATTTTTACAGTTCCTGCGGTGTCAGACAAGGATGTACACTAAGCCCAGTGTTGTTTCTGCTATTCATAAATGAGCTTGCGTGTGATTTGCAGAGCCAATTTGATGATGGTATCTTTATATCCAATGAAATGTTGAACCTTATTGCCTTGTTGTTTGCTGATGATTTGATACTAATTGCAGATAGCGTTGTTAAGTTGCAAAGACGATTGGATGCCCTACATAATTATTCTTATAGATGGGGTATGGACATTAATTTAGCTAAAAGTAAAATAATTGTCTTTAAAATGGGTGGGCCTCTGTCAAAATATGAAACGTTTTTCTTTAATGGGAATCCTATGGCAATAGTAAATGCATATAAATATTTTGGGTTAATGATAACGCTTAAATTGATATGGACTAAGAGGCTGTAAAACAATAGCGGAGCAGGCAAGTAAAGCATTATGGCCTATAAAATCTTTGATCAGACGTTTTGAATTTACAGTAAAGATGCGTTCTTTTATTTGATAAAAGATTACTCCAAATTCTTACATACGGGGCTGAAATTTGGGGTTGGGAAGAAAGGAGTACTATTGAAATTATTCATAGGAAGTTTTGTAAATTTGTTCTCCATATTAGTTATAAATCGTCAAATGCTGTATCATACGGGGAGTGTGGAAGATATCCACTTTATGTTTCCTATCATATTAAATGTATTAAGTATTGGCTACGATTGTTAAGAATGCAACGTCAAAGATATGCCTTCCAATGTTATAATATGCTGTTGTCCATTCTTGAGAGAAAAGGCCGAGTTGGGCCAATCA